TTTTGGACAAAAAATCGCAATATATCACAATATACTGCCTTGCTTACAGCATCGCAATATATCGGGATATGTCGTATCGTGACCCCTCTGTTATATGTTTCGTATCGCCAAATTCTTGCCAATACACAGCCCTATCCCCTAGTGTTTTAACTACGATTAATATTTCCTGAAACAGTAAATACTTAATTTATCTCATCATTACCAAAGATATGAGAGTATTCTGTTAATTTTATGTTTAAGGAAGCATCCTGAATTTAGTTTAAAATTGTTTTCAGCAAAAAAAACGACATGTCTATTTATTATAAAGTGTCAGAAGTGAGCAGATACGACAGACTATTCAGTTTTATTTAACTTGAGTAATTTGTCTGGTTGTTACTTGGAATAATTTGATTTGTTAAAGGTTGTTAAAGGTTGAAAATAGGTTAGAGTTTTTGTTTTTTTATCATAGTCGAGTTTGATAAGGAATTTGTCCCTCCAGTGCCTAAATCCTGCTAGCAGACGCCCCTGCTTGTCTCGGAGTGTTTCCTGGAAAAGATCAGCACAGACTCGCTCGTCTGGCTCCTTCAGAACAGGAAAATAGTGTCTGAGCAACACGACTCATACTCTGTGATTTTAAATATTTTCAATTCACTGTCTGGTTTGCCCTGTTTTTTTTAAACTTGAAAAAGAAGTAATTTAGCTTATGTGCTCAATATTTTTTTGTTGTTGAGATTTTCAGTCTCAATTCTTGCTGCTGTTAATGTCTGAGAGAATAATTTCAAGGCAAATGTTAACATTTTCTGTGATGGATTTGGGGCCTGTTCTGGGTGTACCCCACACCTCGCACACTGCTGGATATGGGCACCAGTGACCCCTGTGACCCTAAAAGGGACAATTGGGTTAAGATAATGGATGGAGGGATGTTTACATTTCCCTCCCATTATCATTAGTTATCATACAATGATCCTTTTTCTTACTAGCTAAAAGGAAACATGATTTCAACCTTCATAAAACTATACAGGCTTGTGAGGAGATCATGTCATTAAAGTTGTGCTGGAAGGTTAATATAGATTTTTATTGTTTTATTTGTGATTTCAGCAGGTGTTTCCTGCTTTCTATTGAACCAGCTGAACATAAAACATTTTCTGTTGTACATGGTGTAGTAAAATGCTTTGCAATTAATAAAATAATTAAAAGTTTCTAACATGAAATCTAGCTGTAAGACTATTGTGTTTTTAGCTAATTTAAACACAGTTGTTGTTTTAATTATCAACTCATAGCAGTTTTTGTGAAACCCACACAGAATGCTCGGTGTAGCTTTAGGCATCCTCTCCTCTCATTCAAGACGACTAGCATTATCTTCTGCCCCCAGTTGGGCTGGCCACCACGGATTAGTGCTTCACTGTAATCTGGGACACTGCAGATTATTCTTTTCATCTCGTGCGCCCCCTACACACCCGCACATCATGTGACCCTCTCACACAAATGGAACCATCTCTGTTTCCTTTGGATGACGAGCTGAATGTTGGCGAGAGGGTGAGGAATAATCAGAGCGTCATGCAGCGCCCCTGCCCTGCTGACGACGAGCACCAGAACACTGGTGGCGCAAACGGATGCACCCAGAATTGACCTTTGGGATTACTGTGGTGAGGAAGAGGGGCGGGGTTTGTGTTCTGCAACACCTGCTTGAGAAGACAGGTAACTTATTAACAGCCTGCAAAGGAGCAGAGCGTTTACATCACCTTGGCCTGCTGCAGAAAACGAGTAAGAACAAAAAAGTGTTTCTCTTTGACCTTTTGACTACTTGACAGGCGTTATAAAAAAAAATCACCTAAAGTGTTCATTTTTATCACATAAACAGCAAGAGTCCAGGGTGCTGTAAACACTGAGGCACAGTGACGATCGACACGCGGCTGAATCACATGCAGACAATCAGCTCTTGGCTGGCTTTGCGTTTGGTAGTGGTTGGCAGCGAGGCGGTGGTTTTCTCTCTGACCATCAACACACGGTAAACATGGAGCCGCTGGACGAATACCACTCTCCATTTGACTTTGACCAAGGAGTCAACAGCAGCTTCCTCTACCTCTCCCCGGCTGACAGCGACACGCCGCCCGGCTCACCAGCTGTCAGAGGTAATCTCAAGAAGGAAAGGGAGAGGCTGGGTGGAGGGTGTGTATATATGTGTGTGTGTGTTTGTGAGACACGAGGACAAAACGGGTTTGGTTCATTAAACATAAAGAATTTGGGTGAACAGGTTATTTTTGTAGTCGTTTTGTTTTCAGACAAAGGTTGTACTCGTTATGTAACCTGCCTTGATCTGGGACTTTCTTTGTTTTTAACCTTTAACCTCCTCTTTATGTAGTCCTTTGATCGGATTGCTGAATGATTTTATACACACTATAATTAATTAATTATACTGCCTCAAGCTTTTGGGAGGTCCACTGTAGCCCAACAATCTCACAACACCACATATTTGTGCTGAGAGCTTTCTGCTTCCTGAAATGTCTCGGCTAAGTTTCAAAGTTTCTTCTTCACAATGTATGGAAGAGGTGTACAGAGTTTCACACTGTTGACTTTGTGGAGGACTGGGTGTGTTTGGTTCTGGACCCGGCAGGTTGACAGACTCTCTTCACATGCTTCTTTTTGGTTTGTTGACGCGTGACCTGATAGTGAATCCATATCTGAATCTTACCTGCTGCTGTAGCCAAGCCTTAATTTACCTTCTGCTGAAACCAACTCAGAGTGTGAATAAACATGGTCTGAAGCAGCACTCAGGCTGTACAAAGCCTGCTAAACACCCCTGCAGTTAGTGATGAGGTGGTTTTCTCTACGTGGTAATTAAGTGATCCTCCTCCTGTAGCTCTGTTGGGTTAGTTTGCTTTATAGCAATGAAACTTATTATGATCTCTACAGATGTTTTTTTTTTTTTTTTTATAGGACAGACTGCAATCTGCTTATATTTTAACACATGGTTTCAGCTGTGACACCATCACATTATTAGCCAACCTGTTTCTGGCAAATGTCTTGTTGTAAAAACTTCTGCCTGACATGTCGAAGCTCATAGCTCCAGACAGACATGGTTCCCATCTTCCTGCAGGAACAAGTCACGACACCAAAGTCTTTCTAAGAAGTTTAGACTTTATTTATTTATTTTAACTAGAAGGCTTTGAAAAGGTTGCACAATAAACAGGCTTTTTAAAAATAATCTGGCTGCACATAACTGAAAACTTGTGCCCAGGCCAAAAATAATTTAAACTTTCCTTTGGTTGCATCACTAGAAACCAACTATGCAATATTTTTATGGATTTCTCACTTCATTGGGAGAAAAATATATATATAATTATGCATTTGTTGCATAATAGACACCATGACAACTTCATTATCTGTAAAACTGACATTTCAGCTCACCACATTTGTGTACTCAGAATTGTGTGAGAGAATTCATGCTTAGGATTTTAAATATTTACTGACACAAGTTTTCTGTACCGTTAAGTTAGGAAAAAAGTCAGAACAATTTTTTCTGTCATTTTCTCATTGAGGCACAAAAACACCTGACCCACACAAGTACAGGCCACATGCACAAAAATGGCAACGTGGCTCTGCACACCCAGCAGTCAGGTCCTGACCAACACAATGCTACATGAGCGTGATGCACACAAACTCAGTGTATCTGTCCCACACAAGGCCCACTGCACACAGAAAAAAATGATTTGATTTATTCAGAATGTAATGGAAATTATGACACAGAAACAGAAATGGGTGATGTTGGTGAAAGGTGATTTTCAGTAGTAGTAGTTATTTTTTATTTTTTCATGAAGGGGAAGAAAACAAAGTGATCCTGACAAAGTGATTCACACAAGAAACCCGCATCTCAGAAAGCTGCCTGTCAGTCTATGGACACATTTTCCTCAAAGATGACTGCCTGACTGATAAATGAGTAACCAGCGGCTAACCTGTGAGCTGCAGGTTGAGCAGGGCTCCTGGGGGGTTGTAGCTGTGGAGGCGGAGTCAGGGAAGCTAGCTTTGTCTGCAGGACGACTGAGATTCCCAGGCTCAGGTGCTGTGACAGCATTTCTACTTTCTACTCTGTTTCATAAACGTTTAGTTTAGGACAAAAAGAGAACGTACAGGACGTTTGGACACAAAAGACCATTTCTTATTTTATTTTGTCCACAATTTTGGAAATAATAAACTGGAAAATATCAATAAAAAGTCAAATAATTATAATAAAATATGTTTTTAACTCAAAGGGAAATTTGCACAGTTCGTACATTCATACAGCTGCAGGCATCACTGGATCTGTTAGCTACACAATTAGATGATCATCGAGCAGAAAGGAAGTGAGCTCGCCCTGAGGGGCTGTGTGTGTGTGTGTGTGTGTGTGTGTGTGTGTGTGTGTGTTCCCTCTCTCCTTCAGCGTTTTCTTTTGCAGCTCACCACCACTCCTTGAAGGCTTACACTCACTGAGTGCAGAAATTCTCGACTCACTGACTGTTTATGGTTGTTGGGATCACAAAACTTTTWAAGTAACAAAAAACTCAAACAAGGATTTTAAAGAAAACCGATCGGAGAGATGTGCATCCGTGATGCTTTCCTGCATTCGTTTAAGCAAAATARTTTAAAGCCTCTCTGCATCATCATCATCAGACTGTTGAATTACCAGGAAGTGGAAAAAAGAGAAAATGTGAATTAATGGGAATTGTGTCGTCATCGCAAAATAACAGTATTATTGYTCATMACAAGTATTTCTAATATGCATARTAACTACGCCTTAGCCTCRCTTAATCATTAATAAATAGTCCAGCTACAACATGTTCTCTGCTTGTGACACTGAGCTTCATATTCTCTCATTTATCACAATAGGTGTGACTCTTCTTCCTCTGATGCAACACAGTATGAGCATCAACTTCCTTTTTTTTACTTCTTCCCTCTGAGCAGTTCTATTCAGTTATTTGTTTCCTCTTTTCATGATCTGACAATGTTTCTTGTTTTACTTCCTTTAAACGACTGGATTACAGATCGAGTGTTTCTGTAAAACAGACGCTGCAGAACTTCTAATCAGACGTCTGAAACTGTAACAAAAAGCTGCACATTTTAGCTGAGAGGAACTCTGATGCTTTCAAAACCAACAAACTTGTTGCTTGTTTCACTCGTTTCAACACAAAGTTTAATTCAGTCTGCAGCCTCTGAGGAGCGTGCATGTTTTATTTGTTTTATTCACTCGGCAGGTTTCCAGGAGCATCCAGACTCCGCCCCCGAGTTCGGAGAGGATGCAGCGACGTCCGTGGATCCGTCTCTTCCTCCTGCCATGACAGAGGAGGAGCGTCAGGAGCTGCAGGAGGACCTGATCAAGGTCAGCAGGGATGAAACGATGAAAACACAGACATTTGCTTTTAGCAGACACTTAAACTCTGATTTTACCCGTAATGATGCTAATTCACTCAGATTTACACCATCTTTGCCCCGAGCAAAACACATCTCTGCTGCTTTTACCAGATCTGGTTTACTTTAATCTGAAAATCAGTTCCTCTTTCTTGTTTTCATCCATGTTTATTAGAGTGTTTCTTCCAAGGGTTTTCCAACATAAATATTTAGTTTTCAATCAGTAATTTGTATCTCGGATCCTAACAAGTTAAAACCACAGGTTCAGACATAATTTAGTCATATTTAGAATTAAATGATTAAAGTTTTTTTTTTCTTCTTTACTTCAGATAGAAGAGGAGATCCAGACTCTGTCTCAGGTGCTGGCAGCCAAAGAGAGGCGCGTGGCRGATATAAAGAGGAAACTGGGCATCTCACCTCTGAATGAGCTGAAACAGAACATCACCAAAACATGGCAGGAGGTCACCACCTCCACSGCGTGAGTGTTTCTGCTCTGTTACAGGAACCAGAGTTTGTTTGTTTTCTAGTTTTAAGCTTTGTGAAGCCTCTAAAATAGGGGTGTCAAGGTTTGGGTATTTTCAGATACTGAGCACTGGTACACACTGAAACATTAAATACATTTCTTTTATTAATTTTCCACAGATGACTTGCTCCAGTCGTACCTCTTTTTTTGTCCATGTTTCAAGCATGTTTTTGTCTGTRTTTGAGACCCGTCAAAATAAAAGCCGTGCAAAGACTTGTGGTTTAGTCCTGAGATAACTTGTTGATTTRATTTGCGTCCTACATCGCAGGACCTGTGATGTGATTGTTGCACACAGTGATGGCGATGCTCAAATATATTGTGAAGCTCTCTCTCCAAAMTACWGATCTTTTCTTAGTTTTTGYCCTCAGTTACTTGTGAAGTGGAAAAGGAAACATAAAAGTTTTATCAGTCCAAAGTAATGGGATGTTTTTGTGAGTATTTGATATTAATGTCTGTATTTGTWTTGGGACACCACGACTTTAAAGTGTGCTTGTCTTTGAAAATAAAAAAAAACTCCCTTGGTGTCTGTCAGCCGTGTTGTGCTGTACGAGGAAGAGGATGTCAGAGCTGCTGATCGCCTGTGGCGCGTTGGAAACGGCCTGCTAGAATTTATCCTTCAGGAAATGAGCAGCATTCTGATGTTCTCAGGCTTATTTTAAATGAAAAAGACATCAAGGTTTAGATCTGACCCTGATGTCTCTTTACAGTCTTTGATCCTTTTGTCTGTTTGTTTTATGGCACTCATATCCTCTCTTTCTGCCTCGTGTTTCAGCTACAAGAGGACGTCTGAAACTCTGTCTCAGGCCGGTCAGAAAGCCACAGCAGCGTTCACTAACATGGGCTCAGCCATCAGCAAGAAGCTGGAGGACGTCAGGTGAGATGATTCACTGCGTGTTTGACGACTCAACCTCTTTGTTTTTACCATTAAAAGAAAAAACACCAAATAATTACATTTGTTTAATGTTTAGTTTAGGAGGCCTGACACTGTTTAATGCTTCACATTTAAATGAAAATCCTCATATTCTTCAGTCAGTGTGTGGCAGCATAAAACCTATAAACAGATAAATTGTGAGTTTCATACAGGAAGTCAGATTATTGTTTCAGAATAAAGCCAGCTTTAAAGTGCTCCTGCTAACCTGTCAAGCTATTTTTTAGCGCACACAGACCAATGATGCCAGTAAGCTAACAGGATCACCTGACTTTTATAGGTTTCCATCCATTTCTAACATGTTGAGGTAAAAGACTTTGAGCTTCTTGTGACAAATCCTTCAATCTTTGAAGAGATTTTTCAAATTATTTCAGGGTTCCTGCAGATCCTTAAAAAGTCTTAAAAGGCATTGAATTCATCAAA